CCCCCCCCCCCTCGCTCTTCCTCCTGAGTCCCTATTGTCCACCCCTTGAAAAATTGCCTGCACATGTAATGGCCTGGAAATTGTTGGGGTGAGCTGACTCCCTTTTTCCTGGTCCCTGTGGGGACACAAGCGGTTAGCAGGACCCCCACTTTTCTGGCCCTGGTTAACCCCCGCAGCACTGAAAAGTTTAAGGCTCCGTTAACCGCTTCTCAGTGGGGAGAGGAAATAATCACAAGCAAGGCTGGATGGATGCCAAGGTTCCTCTCATAGGGCCTGTAGTTTGGATTGTTCCAGTCGACGTCGTTCGACATCAGTCCTTGGATTAGTACAGTAATAAGAATGAGGAGGAAGAGGGCAAAGACCCTTAAGACCACCAGTGCCCCCGGTGAAGGAAAAATCGCCAATCGAGCGCCTGCAACCAGTCGCTGAGTGGGCAGGTGACCAGGCTTGACCACGGGCGGGGTCGACGGCTTTTCCCAAAAAATATCGAGTGCGCCGACTTTGGCAATTTTTCATGTGCAGAACAATTGCTGAAGGAATCTGAAAAAAAATCATGGACATTATCTTTTTTTTTTTTTTTTTAATAGACGCTTGAGTGCTGATCTATTTGAGAAAACACATTAAAAAAATGAAACAAACATTGCTGGCAGCTGGATCGCAAAAAATATGCTGGCGACAAAAAAAAAAATGCGCATGTTTTCCTCCCTGCTGCTACTGGTAGGCCGCATCGTTCGTCGCTTTTAAGTGGGCCAGGCTCAGATAAGACACTACTACAAGTTTGTTAAATTAGCATCAGGGAAAAAAAAAAAAAAAAAAAAAAAAAAAAAGCATCAGGGTCAGTGGTGGTTTAACAATATCACTGTGTCATGTGTGTGACGCTCTCCTGCGAACGCCTAACAGTTTGCAACTATGAATGCATGAATCTAACCAAGCTTCAGCAGTCTGGTACATCCAATGTGCAGCCTTCTGACACTCGATGAACAAATTTAACCAGCCACCAGCAGGCCAGTACATCCAGAGTGAGCCCCCTCGTTAACCGATGCACTGCACTCTCATACTACAGGCTTAAACCACTAGTACCTTTGCCGCTTCACAAATGAGGGGAAACGCCAGTTCCCAAAGAATTCGGAGGCCAGGCCCCGACGATGGCTGCCATTGATAAATCTAATCGGCAGCCGTTGTTTCGTTCCGGCCTCCTCCTGAAAGGTCGGAGGCCCGCTATTTTCTGAAACGACAAAGGTACTACCGTCTTCACCCAAATAGAATGCCTGGTCATTATCGCTGCATCTGGACAGGAAATGGCCCCAAATACGGCTATAATGACCGGGCGTTATATTCGGGTGAAGACGGTAGTGGTTTAACACGGTTTAAACCTCCACCCAGTTCCAATCATATTAAGACGACAGTACTTCCGAGGCACATTTCTCCGCGGGAGTGGAAAGGCCCTGCGCGCCAAAGAAAAACAAATCTGCGTGGGCCTCCTTTCGGCTGGCACCGCCAGCCGTTTTGCTCCGGAAGCCGAGCCCCGAAAGTTCCGGCTGCATGCAAGCCGCATAATTTTATTTTTTGGCTCGGAAAACGTACAGGTGGTTATATATATCGTCACAAACAGAACTGCCCGGTAAACCGTAGGCAGAGAGAGAGAAGAGGACAACAAACGAGGGGCTGTGACAAACTGTTTATATATATAT